ACACCTGCCCTCTCTCCACATGACCAGGCCCTTCCGGCCTTCTGGCCTCCAGGCTACCCCTTCCCTGGCTGGGAGGGGGTTTCTTTAGCAGGTGAGCTTTCAGGGGAGAGGGCCCCTGCTTTGGCAGAGAGGAGCCAAGGGGGAGAGCTCTGGGACAGATGAGAAATGTTAATAAATCAGAAGATCTGACACTGTGGCATGTGGTGGTTGTCTGTTTGGTAGGTTGGGTTTCTTTAATAATGAAAGGCTTGTTGTTGCTGTAGATGGTTTGTATTTTTCTTTCCTCATGGCTCTGTGGCAGCTCCGACCCACTGGATCCATCACTGTCTAGCGGGCCACCCAGGTTCCTACCACTGCCTGCCCTCCCCTTCTGGCCTATTCCCTGTGGCTGAATCCCTGCAAGAAGTCCTTCCTCAGTGCCCGTCTTTCCACAGGACTCAAGGCTGCAGGACTGCAGGGGGCCAATTGGGCCTGATGTTTAAGAGACAGTGGGAGAGTCTGAGGTCTCCCTGCCCTGGGCTGGACGTCAGGAGGAGTCTGTTCTTGAAACCAAGGGGTTGGCTCCAGGGGAACCCTGGGAGAGGAGAGGTGGGGTGGGGGCCAGGGAGGCTGGATGGCATAGACTTGATGAAGGCGCTGCCCTCTGGCCTAGCCACCCTGTCTCCAGCTCTGCATTTATGATCCTGTTCTCGTCGCAGGAAGAGCCTCCTAAGCATGTCAGTCATGGTGGAAAGAATACCTCTATTCCTTTGTTTCCCCTGCCAGGATTAAACCTGGACCAGGCTCCCTTTTTCTAATCTTTCCTCCCTCTGCCCTGCTCTGGACTCCTCGCCAGAAAGAGAAAGGCTCAGAGAGGGCGCTCCCTCTTCCTCCTGCCCTTAGAGGAGTCACCAGGCCTGTTTTCCCATTATTGTCCTGGTTTCAGACCTTGTGAAATAAAATAACAGTTACTAGTGTTGGGGTGTACTTACAGTGTGCTGGGCCCCCCGGAGAGACACTTCACACGTATTATTTCATTTACTATCCAAACCACTCAACGAGGTACTACTGTTAATATTCCCATTATCCAGAGCAGAGAGGGACAGAGGTACATGAACTGGTCAGGGTCCTCTGACTACAGAGCCTGACTCTGAAGTACTGTGGCTCCTCAGACTCTATTGCCAGGCACTGTCCCTCCCTGCTTGGTACCCATCCAGTTTACCACCTCTCTACAACAGGAATCTCAGCCTGGCCTGAACTAGGACTATAGAGAGAACCCCACCAGGCAGGATGCTGGGAGAAGTGAAGGAGAAGCTGCCCCCTTCCTCCCAGCTCAGCTCCAGGTCATCCTTTTCTGTGTTAATGGGATGTTGAGATTCCTCCTCTAAGTTTGAGAATTGACCAAGAAAGCACATTCATCCATTGCATCTGACTGAGATGCCCTTATTAAGAAAGGGCCATGCTATTGACCCACAGTGGCGTTTAAGTTTTATAGGACTGCAGCAAAACCTCTTGTTTACAGAGGATTGTTCCAAGAAGTCCTGGTGCAGACTGAACACGGGCTTAGGGCAGAGTTACTTTTATGAGGTCCCAAGTCCTCTGTTGGTACTCCCCAGAGCCTGGGTCCATGGCCATCCCTCAGACAGCTCTACCATCATGTATCTCTTGGCTTGGTCCCGGGGAGGAGATGTACCTTGAAGTGGACTAGACGCCTGTGGCCAATGAAGCCAGCAGGGTTCTGGTTCCAAGAGGTGACGGGAGTCCCCGACTGGTTCCAGACTTGTCCTACAGCGCCCCCTCCTGGAGGAGGCTAGCATCACTATTGCTCAGAATGTTCCCCAGAGTCAAAGTAGTCAGTGAAAATGCAGCTCGCTTTTCCTCTCTGTTACAGCAAGAAGAAGAGAACTTCCAGAATACCTCTTGTTTTCCAACCTCCAACCAAATCCAGGGCTCACATTCACGCAGACAGTGGCAACAGTCTCCTCACCTCTCTATCCCTAGGCTTTCCCTTCCTTATTCTGCCCTTCATGCTGCTGCCCAGGCAACCTCTCCAGAATAGCAGCCCAGGATCCCTTGTTGCCTGCATCCCTCCTTATCCCTCCCAGACTCACCCAGCCTGGTCGGATGGCCATGCATCGGCTTCAGCGAACTCTCCTCCAGGTGGCTGTCTTCCACACTAGTGAGGCTTCATCCCTAGCAAGTCTTCTTCCTGGAAGGCCACCCCGCCCTCTCCTTCAGGAGTCTGGTGGAGAGCTGCCTCTTCACTCCTCCAGGCAAAGTGGCAGTCACCCCACCACCTGTGGCCGGTTCCCTGGGAGACAGGGAGCAAGGCCAGGCCACACGCCCGCTTCCTATGACCTGACAGCCCTTTTCCTTTCTCTTGGCCAGGCCACGCGCCCGCTTCCTATGACCTGACAGCCCTTTTCCTTTCTCTTCCCCAGGCTCCTCCTTACCACCGTTCTTCATCCCAGGTGTTACCTTGTCTGATCTCCAGGTTCATCTGAGGAAACTTTAAATGCTCAGACTAGGCCCCACCCTTACAGATTCTGATTCAGTTAGGTCTGGGGTACTGTGCTGTGCTTAGTCGCTCAGTCGGGTCCAACTCTTTGCAACCCCATGGGCTGCAGCCCACCAGGCTGGGGTTCTCCAGGCAAGAATACTGGAATGGGTTGCCATGCTGTCCTCCAGGGATCAAACCCAGGTCTCCTGTATTACAGGCAGATTCTTTACCAATTGAACCACCAGGGAAACCCGAGAACACTGGAGTAGATAGCCTATCCCTTCGCCAGGGGATCTTCCCGACCCAGGGATTGAACCGGGGTCTCCTGCTTTGCAGGCGGATTCTTTACTAGCTGAGCCACCAGGGAAGTCTAGGTCTGAGGTAGTGCCCAGGAATCTATACTTTTGCAAATTCCCAGGCGATCCAGTGACTGCACTGGGGAATCCTCCACCCTTCTTCCCAGCCGCTCCCTCTTCAGGCGCCTTATTTGGGGAATCACAGTCTAAGAAAAGGAAAAACGTTTATTTTTAGCAAACCTGGGATCCCAAGGAGGGGCAGGGACTGAGTTCCCTCCTCCACCTGAGGGCCTTGGGCCTTAGATTGCTGCTCTGGCTCAGGCTTGGGAGGGAGGGGAGTCATGGGGTGGGGGTCAGGACAGTCACTTGTACTGAGGAGAGAGTGGGGGGACAAGCGGGGCATTGCAGACACTTAGCATTTTGTTGATGTCCACCTGGGTTGACTTGTCCATCTCAGCCTTGAGGTGACTGCTGACCCCCAAACTGGGCAGACCCCCAGGCTCTTCACTGGCTTCCTCCCCCAGGGGAACCAGAGTGTGGGTGGGGGGCACATACATACTGGGGCAGGGCAGAGTGAGGTCGGAGCCCAGTTCACCTGCCACTGGCAGCAAAGCCTGCAGTTGCTCCACACCCGCCTCCTCAGGGACCACAGTCAGCTCCGACTCAGGCTCCACCTCAGCCTCAGTCTCCCTGTCCCCCTCCCCTGCCTCGTTCAGCTCAGGGTTGCAATAGTTGATGTACTGGTACAGGGGCCGCAGGCGCTGGGCCTTTCCTACAAGAACCCGGGGCAGGGCAGCAGCTGGAGTGCCAAGCTGGGCCATGTCAGGGGTACAGCCGGCTGGGGACAATGGGGAAGGCTCAGGAAATGCCACTCACGCTCAGGCCCCGAGATCACTGAGGGTGCCGACACCATGCTGGCCACCACTGGGAGCAGTGGGGTTCCCAGACTCTTGCGCTTCTTGGCTTTTTTGTGCTGTTTGGCAGATGGTGAGGGCTCACTCTGGTTATTCTCCGGCTCCTCCCTCTGCAGCAACAGCCCCTGTGGCAGCTCACTCTCCACCCTAGGATTGGCTTTGTGGCTTGGGCCTGCGAGGCTGGGGAACAAGGAGGCCTGAGGAGCCAGCCTGCAGCCTTGGCTCCTCTGCCCTGTCCTAGGGAACAGTCCTGCCTGCCTACCTCCCCAGGCCCTGATCCTTGTCCTTTTCCTGGTCACTGAGGCCCTGGACTGGACAGGGACCCAGAGATCATGGGAGCTTAGTCCCCTACCAGGCCTTGAGACTTCCGCTCTGGATGTTTCCTACATCAGGGCTCTGGAGGGACAGAAGAGGTGAGGAATGATAGTGGTGGCAGGGGATAATGATGGACACTGCTGTAAGGCCCCATTTAGGAATCCAACTGGGGTATGAGGCACCCCCACTCCACCTCCCCAGCCCCTAGCCTCTTCCCTCTGAAAGCCCCCTCACTTGATTGGCTTCCTCTTCGGACCATGACTGGGCCTCACATTGGAGGCCATAGGCCTGGGACCTCTCTCCTCCAGTGCCTCCACCTCTGGCTTGTGCCTGTTTTCCTCCAACTTGAGTCTCTCCTCCTGGATCTTTGGCTCTGAGGCGGGTCTTATTGGACATTTATCTTCACCCTGGGTTTGGCAGGCCTCGTGGGCCAGCACCAGGCACTGGTCTCCCATCACGGGACACTAGAGGTGACACATAGATAACTGGTCACCATGGCCAGGCAAAGGATACAGGGACCAGCCATTAGACACTAAATAGGGATGGAAGGGCACCAACCCATGCCCCTCCCAGCCTGTGGAACCTGGCCTGGCAGTTAGAGGGTAGTTGCAGCTTGGTCTATTAAAGCGCTATGGCCAAGTGTTTGAAGGTTAGACAGCCGATGGTCACCTCAGAATTCTGAGCATGGCCACCAGGCACCTCTGTAAGCTGTGACTGCTCCACGGCTGTCCCTTCTTGGGCCCCTGGCCGCTTCTCAGCCCCTCCGGAATCCATAGCTGCGGCGGATCAGCACCTCCTCGACGGTTGCTTGAGGGGCATCGGGGGTGGAGGGCGGATCCTGAGGGGCCAGACTAGTAGACCCTGAGCGGACCCCGGAGAGGACCGGGTTGGGAAGGGCAACTAACAGTCGTTCTGCCCCACACCCCCAGCTGGAACTACAAGCCCCAGAAGGCTTTGCGCCAGGGCCATTGGCCCCTGACTTCACGGACGGAAACCACTGTTGCCTGGCAACAGCAAACCCGTCGGGTGGCGGCAGTGGGCGGCAAAACCGCTCGGTTGAGCCCCTTGCCCGAGTGAGGTGACTGCCAACGGTGCAGAGAGGTGGGCTGAGAGCAGAGGTGGCGAGCGCAGGCCGGGGCTGGGAGGCGGGGTGGGAGCCAGGAACGCAGGCAGGGCACGGCTGCGGTTAGGACCCGGGCCCAGGGAGGAGGCATTGGGCTGAGAAGCGGGGTTTGGCGCCAGAGACGTAGCCCAGCAGTCCTCAGGTGCACCGTTTGCAGGACGACGACGGCGGTATGTGTGAGGGGCCGTCCCGCATCTCGGGGCCCATCCCCCCAGACCCTACACTCTGTCCTGACTACTACCGGAGGCCGTCTTCGGGTGAGTTGCGGGGGTGAAAGCAGCCTGGCAAGGGTTGGGCCCAGCTCCACCACTGACTCCGCACTCCGCCCGTCTGGCCTCTCAGCCCAAGGGCGCCTTGAGGGAAACGCGCCGAAGCTGGACCTGCTGACGCCGGACACGGACCCGGACCTAGACGCCACTCCTCCCCGCGGCCCCCGCATCCGTCCGGGAGGCCTAGAAATCCTGGAGCGTGGCCGTCGCGGCGTGGGTGGCGTGCTGCTGCAGCTCGGGGGTATCTCCCTAGGCCCAGGGGCCTCTCCCAAGAGTAAGTTCTGGTCAGAACGGACAGCGAGGCGGCTCTGAAGTCAAAAGAGATCAAAAGACGGCTGCTTCCCCTTCTCTGCTCTGGGCTCAGGCTTTACCTCTCAGAGTGTCTGTTTCCCCAACTGTAGAAGGAGGGGGAAATGCACGACTTCTTCGCAGGATAGGACTAAATGAGGTATACCCCGGAAAACCCCGTAGCTCAGCTTCATGGATTCATGCATCGTTGTTGTTGAGTGTCTGCTGTGCTCCGGGCCCTATAGGTGCTAGGAGAACAAGGTCGAAGAAGAGCATCATTGAATCAAGGTGGGAGACAGTAAAACAAGTGAAGAGGTGAATAGGATATGCAAGGCGATTAATGGTATACTTCATAATCAAATATGTATAAATCAGAAACACAAGATAATTATGGTGTGAGGAAGGGAACAAGGTTATGTGGTGGACTTTAGAGTATGTCAGGGAGGCAGGGTGTGGGCTTGTGTGTCCACTGGGTAAGTTGGATTGTATGGGCTGTGTATAGGGCAACATCTTTTCTCCAGGGAAGGACCCTAAAGACCATGAGAAGGAGAACATGAGGCGGATCAGGGAGATCCAGAGGCGCTTCCGTGAGCAGGAGCACAGCCGGGAGCAGGGCCAGTCCAGGCCACTGAAGGCCCTGTGGCGCTCACCCAAGTATGACAAAGTGGAGTCGCGTGTCAAGGCTCAGCTGCAGGTACCTGCCTCAGGGAGCCCCAAGTGTTGCCCATCTTGTTGGCCAACAGGACATTATACTCGGACCTGAGTTTTGAGGAGGGAGGAAAACCACAGGGGGCTGAGGTCACAGGGGAGGAAGAGCTGGTTCTGCTGCAAAGTAGGGCTGGGGCCTTTCTCCAAAGTGATGATGGCTGGCCATTCTGAGGAGCAAGTCATAATTAGGCAAGGGGAGAATGGAGGAGAACATTTTATAGAGATGGAACCTCCTGGTTCCAGGGTCCCTGGCCCTAACACCAGGGCCTTAGGGAGTGTGGGCAGTGGGGATGCTGTGTTCAGTTTACTATGTGGGAAGAAGAGCGTGAGGTTAGGCTAAGAAGTCAGCTGGGCCCACATCATAAAGGGCCACATAAATCCATTTTTTTTACCTTTGTTTCTAAGGACAACGGGAAGGGCAGGGGTATGTATGGTGGTAAGATTCTGTCTGGGGTAGCTAGTGGTGCCGCTTCTCTATTCCAGGGGTCTGAGAAGGAGAAAGACAGGACTGAGAAAAAAGACAAGGTCATATGTGGGTGTGTTGAAGCTGAAGCTTTTGTGGGGCTCCGAGGGAGTGGGAATGTGTCCAAGAGGCAGATGGAGAATCAGGTCTGGATCTCAGAAATTAGACCCAGGAGTTATTGAGGGCAGGGCTGAGGACAGCGAGACCAGGGAAGTGACCCTGGATTTGGGGGCTTGGAGACCAGCTGTTGGTGGCCTTGGTGGGGACAGAGCCAGAAAGCTTGGCTAGGAGGAAAAGAAAAAGAGAACGATGGCTGAAGTCAGGACTGAGGTAGAGGGAGGGATATTTGTTTTCTGAGAGATGTGAAAAACACACAGGTTTAAATGCGGATGTGGAAGAAGTACTTATTCAAGAGGAAGGAGACCAGGTTCAGAGGACTTGTGATAAAGATCCCGAAAGGCAAGAGGGACAGAGGCATGGTCTTATGGCTTGAGACCCTGACCTCAGCTTGACTGACACCCCCCCCACCCCCCACCCCCTCCGGCTCTGCCTTGGCCTCCAGGAGCCCGGCCCTGCCTCTGGAACTGAGCCAGCCCACTTCCTGCGGGCCCATTCCCGTTGCGGCCCTGGGCTTCCACCACCCCGTGTCCCCAGTCCCCAGCTAACGCCACCAGGTCCCAATGCTAAGGTGAGAGGATATGTAGGGGCTGGGAGGTGGGGCAGGGATTCGGGGGCACCGCACAGTGCTGTCTGTTTCATCGTGCTGGCCATGTCCTGCAGGCCCCAGGCCTGGGTGTGGACTTCATTACCCACAATGCGCGCACTGCCAAGAGGGCCCCCCGGCGGCATTCTCGCTCGCTGCAAGTCCTGGCACAGGTGCTGGAGCAGCAACGGCAAGCCCAGGAGCACTACAATGCCACGCAGAAGGGTCATGTGCCCCATTAGTAGGTCCCCCCACTCCCCCCACTCCTGGGAAGGGGCACTTATAGAGGGTGGAAGCCTACATCTGCCTGGGATCACCAACCCTGGGTCTGTGCATCGCAGCTTGTTGGAGCGCAGGGACCTGTGGCGGCGGGAGGCTGAGGCCCGTCAGCACAGCCAACCAGACCCAGCCATGCCTCCTGGCCACACTCGCATGCCTGAGAACCAGCGGCTGGAGACACTGAGCAGTCTGCTCCAGAGTGAGTACACAGGCAAGGGGAGCTGGTTGGGAAACCCGCCAGGTACTGTGAACCCCTGCCCAGCACTTAACTGTTCCTGGGGCCCCTGTAGGCCAGAGCCAGCTGCTGCGCGAGCTGGTGCTGCTGCCTGCGGGGGCGGATTCACTGAGGGCCCAGAGCCACCGTGCTGAGCTGGACCGGAAGCTGGTGCAGGTAGAGGAGGCCATCAAGATCTTTTCCCGCCCCAAAGTCTTTGTGAAGATGGATTCCTGAGGCTTTTTGTGGGGACAGTGACTGGGTCTTACTGAAGGATGCAGCATGGTTGCTAAGGGCAGGATTGGGCCCCATCATAGAGTGGAGTTTGAAGACAGGAGCAGTGGAGGGGGGGCAGTGTCCCCAGAGCCCTCTTCCCAGCCGCTGGTGGCTGCGGAAGGGCCATCCCAGCCCTGTAACCCTTTATCAAAATTAAACCTTTTGTACACAGTGGGGTTTGTTTCCATAAGCGCTTTTCTTACCCTAAAAATGCCAAACCTGGCATTCCTCCCTCGGCGTGACTACAGGAAGGCTTCTCTGATGCCCTTATCACACTCACTTCTGCCACATGTCCAGGGCAGAAGGCAAGATTGTGGGATCAGGAAGGAGGCTAGGACTAGGAAACAGAATGACCATAACTGCATTTGTAGAAAATCTTTAATGTTCCCCAGACTGAGAGGGCCCATGGACACACTGAAACCTCCCACTGGGAAAGTCCTTGGAATGTCCCAGAGCCTGGAGTGGCAAGGGGCTGCATCCTTCCCTGTCAGAGGCTGAAGCCACTACCATCTCCTCGAATGCTACTCCCCCAACCAGAGCTGGCCTGCTCCCGATCATCCAGGGAGGGCAGAGAGCTGCGGGCAGCAGGAAGTAGGCGGCTCGCATGCAGGTCCCAGCACGGAGGCCCTTGAGACAGCCCATTGGAACAGGAAGGCTGGTGGTTCTCAATGACCAGATCACTGCTATCATCATCGCTGTCAGGCTCAGCAGGCCCAGCAGAAGGAGGCCCTGCCAGGCGCCCAGATGCCCCACGAACCACATTATTGCGCTGATTGGCTGGCTTGACAGTGACAATGAGGTTGTGGCTGTTGGCGACCATCATGTCCGTCACTTGGTCCAAGGTCTTCCCGGCTACCTCAATGCCATTGACCTCGAGGATCTCATCACTGACTGCCAGCAGCCCTGTACTCTCAGCCAGGCCCCCTCGTACCAGGCGGGAGATGAAGATGCCTGGAACCTGTTCCAGGCCCTGGGGAGCTACTCGCACGCTCATGCCATCTCGGATGTAGAAACCCAGGGGGCGGTCGGAACCATGCTTATGCAGCCGCACCCGTCGGTGGGTCTCAGGCAGTAGGTCCACATCTATGACTGAAGAAACCTGGCGGAAATCTTGTGGCAGGCTGATCAGTAGCGGTGGCCGGGTGCGCAGGGGTGCCACTGGCCGAAGTAGGAGCCCTTTCTTGCGCCGTTGCAGAGAGTTGGAAGCAAAGGCCAGGCCACTGGAATCAGCTTCTGCTGCAGGAGAGGGGGGCACTGAGATCAGAAACCCTGCTCTCCCATTTGGGCCCTTTTTCATCAGGCCCAGGCCTCCTTGAGGAAGGGGGTACTGTAGCTATTTCTTGCCACTTGGAGGTCAGGCCAAGGGCAGGGACTGCAGAGGGTGAATGAAGCCTGGATACCTTGGGCATAGATTAACCCTGGTAGACCTGCCCTGTCACCCTTTCCCAGAGAGGCTGCCCACTGTACCCCATCCTCCTCACCCCGCTTCTGCACTAGCAGGCGCAGTGGTGGGGGCCCACTGCACAGGGCCCGGTGCAGGCTGTCGTCGTTGGTGAGGGGCAATAGGTCGCCGTGAGCATCAGTGTAGCCAAGCAGCACGTCTAGGCCCGGGATCTGGTGTACTGCACGCAGCAACCGAGAAAACTCCTGGAAGCCGCTCACTGAAGCGCGAGGCAGAGCAAAGCGTCGGAACTCAGCATCAAACTGGAGACGGGGTGGGAGGAGAGAAGAGGTTAGAATGGACTCCGTGCCCTTTCTCACCATAGGTCCGAAGGTGGCAGAGGTGGGAAAGACAGGGCTTCACAACAGCCGTGGCCTTGGCACACAGACCTCAGCTCCAGTACAAGGGACGCTGTCCAAGGTCTACTCCCCGCCCTCCACGTACCCAGGCCACAGAGGGACTCCAGAGGCCGGCAGTAGAGGAAGGAGGATGGATGGGGGAAAGTGAGAAGAAAAGCCGGAGAATGGGACGGGGAGGATGGAGAAGAGGAAAAGGTGGTGGGGACTAAGGAGCCAGGAAGGGGAGAATGAGGGAATTGGAAGCTCCTAGGGCCGAGGCCGGAGCCAGGGCTGGAGGGGCCCTTACTTTGCTCTTCACCTCGACGATGCTGTCGGGACTGCGTGCCGGAGTCCTCTGTAGCCTGGCCATGGCGGGGCCGGGCGGGCCGGGGACGTTGCCCCAGACGGCCCGCCGAGGCGCAGGTGCACGGCCCCTCCAGTCGCCGGTGCCGCCCCGCCCTCCTAGCCGAACCGTGACGTCAAGGGGGCAGCGACGCAGAAAGGAAAGCGGAGTCCACGTTTCCTAGGAAACGGAGATGGGGTGGAGGAGTCTTTGCGTCTTCTTACGTCATTACGCTACGGTCCGAGCGTCTCCGGAGTCTAGGGGAGGGGCTTGGCTAATCTGAGGGGAGAGTGAGAGAAGTGGTGTTTATTGAATACTGTGTACTTTTATTTCCACTGGCCTAACAGGGCTGCGCATTTTGTAGATGAGGAAAGTGGAGTCACAACAAATACTTGCTGAACTCCTTGAGGTCACAGGCGTTGAAGTGGCTTTGAGGTTCTCGCTCGGACCATGCTTGACTGCAGCCTCAGGTCCCAGAGTTCTCCCTCTCCATCGGAGCCAGTTCTTGGCCCCTTCCTGCCCAGCGCCACAGGAGACTTGAAGAACGGCCCCAACGCCGCGCCGCTGGTTTGAGAGATGCTCGAGTAAGCGTAAACAGGACGGAATCCAATTGAACCAAGTTCCGGACCAAGACTCGCTGGTGCGCTTGCGCTGGCACGCCCCTGGGCGGGGCCTCGACCGCTGGTCCCGCCCAGACGTCCGGCGTTTCCCCTCTCGCGGCGAGGCGGGGCAGCGTCGCACGGGAAAAACGCGGGCTAGAGGCTCTCTGCGGGCTACAGCGGTGGAATGGCACGTTTTGGGGGCCTGGTCCTGCGACCCTGGATTCGAGAGCTGGTCCTAGGGTCAGAGGCACTCTCAAGCCCTCGGGCGGGGCAGCTGCTCAAGGTGAGTTCCCCCCCCCCCCCCACACGCACACACCCTTCTCAGAGCCCTGACGGGGCCCCAAGGCGGTGGGTTTGACGCCGGTCGCCGCCCTCAGGTACTGCTGGAGGCCAAGACCCAGAGCCCGTCCGGTGTCCCTGAGCTGCCCGACGCGGAGGCCGTGCTGCTTGTATCCGACGGGACCCACAGTATCCGATGCCTAGTGACGGGTGAGGCCCTGAACGCCTCAGACTGGTGAGAGAGGCTCCGCGGAGCTTGGGAACTTTGGAGTCGGGTGAGAGAGAATGAGCCTTGAGCCCTGAGCCCTGAGCCCGAGGTGGGCGGGTCCCAGGCGGGCAGGGGTGCGTTCTGGCGAGCGCTGCAGTGAGGACTGTGCTCGCCGCAGGGAGGAGAAGGAGTTCGGCTTCAGAGGGACAGAAGGCCGGATGCTGCTGCTGCGGGACTGCAAGGTCCGCGTCCAGGTCGCCGAGGGAGACACGGTGAGTGGTGAAGCTGGCTTGGGTGGATTACTGGGCCTGATTTCCTGAAAACTCCTGAGACCCGGTCCCTGAACTCATCCCTCCAGCCCGCGGAGTTCTACCTCCAGGTGGACAGCTTCGCTCTGCTGCCCACGGAACAACCCCGGGAACAGGTGACTGGTTGGTAAGTGATGCCTCCGCTGTCCAACTGTACTCTTCACCCGGGCCGAGCTGGCGTTGCCATAGGCCTTGTGGGTTTGAGGGCTTGGGGCTTTAGTAACATTGAGCTCCTGTTGTTGTTGTTCAGTTGCTAAGTCGTGTCCAACTCTGTGACCCCATGGACAGCAGCATAACAGGCTCCTCTGCCCTCCACTATCTCTCGAAGTTTGCTCAAATTCATGTTCATTGAGTTGGTTATGCTATCTAATCATCTCATTCTCTGCTACCCGCTTCTCCTGCCTTCAGTGTTACCCAGCATCAGGGTCTTTTCCAGTGAGTCAGCTCTTCACATCAGGTGGCCTTAGTATTGGAGCTTCAGCTTCAGCAACAGTCCTTCCAGTAGATATTTAGGGTTTATTTCCTTTGGGATTGACTGGTTTGATTTCTTTGCATTCCAAGAGAGTCTTCTCCAGCACCTCAATTCCAAAGCATCAGTTCTTCAGCACTCAGCCTTCTTTATGGTCCAGCTCTCACGTCCATACAAGACTACTGGAAAAACCATAGCTTTGACTATATGGACCTTTGTCAGCAAGTAGTTTTTGCTTTTTAATACACTGTTTATATTTATCATAGCTTTCCTTCCAAGGAATAAATGCCTTTTAATTTCATGGCTGCAGTGACTGCAGTGATTTTGGAGCCGAAGAAGATAAACACTGTCACTGCTTCCACTTTTCCCCTTCTATTTGCCAGGAAGTGATGGGACTGAATGCTAATGATCTTAGATTTTTGAATGTTGAGTTTCAAGCCAGCTTTTTCACCTTCCTCTTTCACTCTCATCGCGAGCTCTTTAGTTCCTCTTCACTTTCTGCAATTAGAGTGGTATCTATATATCTGAGGTTATTGATTTTTCTCCCAACAAACTTGATTCCAGCTGTGATTCATCCAGCCTGGCATTTCACATGATGTACTCTGCATATCAATTGTTGTACTCTTTTCCCAATTTCGAACCAACCAGTTGTTCATGTCCAGTTCTGACTGTTGCTTCTTGACTTATATACAGATTTCTTAGGAGATAGGTAAGGTGGTCTAGTAGTCCCATCTTTTTAAGAATTTTCCAGTTTGTTGTGATCCACACAAAGGCTTTAGCATAGTCAATGAACAGAAATACATGTTTTTCTGGAACTCTCCTGCTTTCTCCATAATCCAGTGTTGGCAGTTTGATCTCCAGTTCCTCTGCCTCTTTGAAACTCAACTTGTACATCTGGAAGTTCTTGGTTCACCTACTGCTGAAGCCTAACTTGAAGGATTTTTGAGCATTACCTTGCTAGCATGTGAAATGAGTGCAACTGTCCAGTAATTTTAACATTTTTTGACATTGTCCTTCCTTCTGGTTGAAATGAAAACTGATCTTTTCCAGTTCTATGGTCACTGCTGAGTTTTCTAAATTTGCTGACATATTGAATGCAGCACTTTAACAGCATCATCATTTAGGATTTTAAATAGTTCAGCTAGAATTTATCATCTCCACTAGTTTTGTTTGTAGTAATGCTTCCTAAGACCCACTTGACTTCACACTGCAGGATGCTCACTTCTAGATGAGTGACCACACCATCATGGTTATTGGAGAATTATGACCTTTCTTGTATAGTTTTTCTGTGTGTTCTTGGCCATCTCCTCTTAATCTCTTCTGTTTCTGTTAGGTTCTTACTGTTCTTGTCCTTTATCTTGCCCATCCATAGATGAAATGTTTCCTTGAAATCTCCAGTTTTCTTAAAGAGATCTCTAGTCTTTCCCATTCTGTTCTTTTCCTCTGTTTCTTTGCATTGTTCACTTAAGAAGGCTTTTTTTTTTTTTTTTACCTCTCTTACTGTTCTCTGGAACTCTGCATTCATTTGCGTATAGCTTTCCCTTTCTCTCTTGCCTTTTGCTTCTCTGCTTTCTTCAGCTATCTATAAGGCCTCCTCAGACAACCACTTTGCCTTCTTGCATTTTTTTTCTTTGGGATAGTTTTGGTCACTACCTCCTATACAGTGTTACTAACCTTTGTCCATAGTTCTTCAGGCACTCTATTAAGTCTAATCCCTTGAGTTTTTTACCTCTCCTGTGTAAGCATAAGGGATTTGATTTAGGTCATACCTGAATGGCCTAGTGGTTTTCCCTACTTTCTTTAATTTAAGCCTGAATTTTGTAATACAGAGCTCATGATTTGAGCCACAGTCAGCTCCAGGTCTTATTTTTGCTAACTCTATGGAGCTTCTCCATCTTTGGCTACAAAGAACACAATCTGATTTCAGTATTGACCATCTGGTGATGTCTATGTGTAGAGTTGTCTCTTGGGTTGTTGGAAAAGGATGTTTGCTATGACCAGTGTGTTCTCTCGACAAAACTCTGTTAGTCTTTGCTCTGCTTCATTTTGTACCCTAAGGCCAAACTTGCCTCTTATTCTGGTTATTTTTTTATTTCCTGCTTTTGCATTATAGTCGCCTGTGATAAAAAGGTCATCTTTTTTTGGTGTTACTTCCAGAAGGTCTTGTAGGTCTTCATAGAACCAGTCAGCTTCAGCTTCTTCGGCATCAGTGACTGTGATGTTGAATGGTTTGCTTTGGAAATGAACCAAGATCATTCTGTCATTTTTGAGATTACACTCAAGTACTGCATTTCAGACTCTCTTGTTGACCATGAGGGCTACTGCATTTCTTATACGGGATTCTTGCCCACAGTAGTAGATATGATGGTCTGAATTAAATTTGCCCATTCCCATCCATTTTCGTTCACTGATTCCTACCTAAGAGCCATCTCCTACTTGGCCACATCCATTTCACCTTGATTCATGGACATAACATTCCAGGTTCCTGTGTAGTATTCTTGACAGCATTGGACTTTACTTTCATCACCAGGTACAGCTGAACATTGTTTTCACTTTGACCCAGTCACTTTCTTCTTTTTGAAGCTTTTAGTAATTGCTCTCTGGTCTTCCCCAGTAGCATATTGGACACCTTCCAACCTTGTGGGGGAAGAGGGGCTCATCTTCCAGTGTCATACATTTTTGCCTTTTCATACTGTCCATGGGGTTCTCCAGGCAAGAATACTGGAGTGGGTTGCCATTTTCTCCTCCTGTGGACCAAATTTTGTCAGAAGTCTTCACTGTGACCCGTCTGTCTTGGGTGGCCCTTCACAGTATGGCTCATAGCTTCACAGAGTTAGACCCTTTCACCATGACCAGACTGTGATTCATAAAGGAGAACAGTGACTGCCTACCACTCCTCTTTTCCAGCAACGAGGACCCAGATGTACGGAAAAAGCTCTACGTCTGCTTGGAGTGAGTGTGGGGTTGGCTTCTTGGGTCAGGTGTGGTTCGGTCAGGGGGTGACAGATCTGTGTAGGTAGGCTTCAGGATTGTTCCTCAGACTTGTCCCCTCTGTTTCTCTAGGGAGCACCTTTCAGAGTCCACCTCCTCCAATGCAGGTAACTGGCAACCCCATTGCTTCCTTAGTAAGGCCTCCCCTCCTTCTCTGAGCTTCAGCCCATTCTCTGACCCCCTGCCCCTAGGTCTTTCACTGTCCCAGCTTCTGAATGAGGTAGAGGTGGACCAGGAGCATCAGAAGGCATTAGTGCGCCTGGCTGAGAGCTGTCTGATGCTGGCAGGTCCTGACACAGCAGCCCCCATCACCCCCTGGGCTGCCTCTCGCTGCAGAACCACGGTCAGTCTGGGGCTTCTCTTGGGAAATGTCGGCCTGGGAAGTTGGGAGAGGGTGCAGACTGAACGTTCTCATCCTACAGGGAGAAGCTGTGTACACTGTCTCCAGCCTCCGGCTGCACATCTCTGAGAACGACCAGCAAGTCCTGAGCTCTCTGGGCCCAAGTCAGAGGGCACAGGGTAAGGAGGACTACAGAGGTCAAGAGGAAGGTACTGCCTGCCCAGTGCCCCCGTGCTGATAAGCCTCCCCTCCCCCAGGCCCGGAGCGGTCCCCGTCACACCTGGCTCTGCAGGACCTGTCGCTGAGTCTGATCTCCTCCCCTCCTTCCTCACCCAGTTCCTCAGGTAAGGTGATGCTCAGGCCCCATGTTCTTGCTGCTGTCAATCAATTAGGTGCCTGGACTCTGAAAGGGTACCCAGCTGGGCGGGGGTGAACACAGTCCCTGCAAGCCTCCGCTCACAGGTCCTTCAGCTGATCTGAGCTGAGGGGACTGTGCCCATGGTGAGTCCCCCTCCTCCTCAGGAGCCCCTGCCTTACCCAGCCAGCTGCTGTCAAAGGAGAACAGTGCCAGCGTCAGCCTTCTGCCTCCTCTGCCCTTGGCTGCTCCAGACCCAGTGCAGAAGGGCAGCTCCCAGCCCCTGTCAACCATCTGCCCAGCCCACTGCTCCCTGCCCCCCGGGTCCCCACATCCCAGCTGTGTACCCAACACCCCACTCCTGAGCTGCACCCCAAGCCTGTCACGCCTTGGCCATGCCCCCAGTGTACACCAGGCCCATGTAAGCAGGGCCCAGAAAGCTAGCCTGGAGTTCAAAGAGCTTGGGTTACCCCCCAAGACCTGGCAGCATTCTCCAAGGACAAGAACCACCAAGGGAGCCCTGGAATCCAGCTGTGTCTGGGTGAGCACAGCCCCCACAGCTAGAGGGTAGAAGGGGTGGACCTTGGGTAGAGCCGGGCTGGGGGCTGGGGCAGCCTTGGATGAGGTTAGCGGCCTTTTTGGCCCCTTTCCAGACACCATGTCCCCTTCAGGACCCCCCAGAGAGGCATCGTGATGGTTCTGCCTTCCAGTATGAGTACAAGCCACCTTGCTCCTCCGTGTGTGCCCAGGTCCAGGCTGCCAGGTGAGTGCCTGGGGCTGCCCCTACTGTCTTCATTACCTGTCTCCGTCCCCCCTGACCTAAAACCTCGGTTCTCTTCTCAGGCTCCCTCCCCAGCTCGTGGCCTGGGCGTTGCACTTTCTGATGGAGCCACAGCCGGACTCTGAACTGACCCAGGTGTGAGGGCTCGTGGGAGGATGTGTGCACAGATCCAGGCCTGAGGGCGGATAAACAGAGCTCCACACCAGCTTCCTTCGAGTTTTTTAATAAAATAATCTCATGCGGCAGAAAGGAAGAGGTCAGGGGTTGGGGCCGCCGCCTCTTTGGTTTGTGGCTGGGGAGGGTGGGCTGGAGGGCTCTGTAGACTGGGGGGGTAGAGGCTCGGCTTCAAGGCCAGATCCTGCACAGAAAGAGAGGGAGAGAGGAAGGGTTAGGACTGAACCAAGGAGTCCTGCCGCTCTCCCAGCTGGCCCTGGCCCCCCTTACCTAGGCTTGGAGATGGAGGTGCCTCAAGCTTTGGCCTGCGCTTGAGGACAGGGGAGCGCTGTAGCCTCAGGGGCCGTTCTGTGGGATACAGACAGACCTGGGGAGGGATGCTGAGGGCTGGCTGCCTGTCCTCACCGTCCCCGCTCCCAACACTTGCCTTTGGAGCCTCCGCCTTCCCCTCCCACCCCTGGCAGTGGTGGCTCCTAGCCTTCTGGCTCCAATTTCTCAACCCCTCAGGACACTGGTGGCCCTTCAAGGACCAGAGCCACAAAGGGAGCCCTCTTCCCCCATCTCCTTTTGTACTCCAGCCCACGGGGAGGCATTCCCCCCTCACCAGCAGGGGCCTGGAGCTGGTCCTCATGCACAGACACTGCTCGTCGCCCTGCCAAGCGGGGCTGCGGCCTCAGCCGGCCATCTGGGGGAGGCCAGGGGAGGTCAGGGTGTGGGCCTGACAGCCACCCCTGCTCCAGCCCTTGCCTCCCACCTTCAGGGTCTGAGTTCCCAGAGGGGACTCCTCCAGTCCCTAGCCCAGTATTGAGTGGAAGCTGGGGTATTTGCTTACCTTCGTTCCTGGAGCCTAAGCAGGGATCCTCTGGAAGGCCCAGGCTGTCTGGGGAAGGGCTGGATCTTCGGGGGCTTGGGCTGGGACATGGGGACGGGGGGCCTGGACCATCCTGTCGGCCCCAACCACGGCTCCTGAGCTCAGCGTTCAGCTGCTGCCCCAGTGTCTTCCAGGTGGCAGACTCGGGCCCTTGGCTCCCTGGCCCAGGTCTGCATGAAGGGTCTGTGGGGAGAGGGGTGTCAACCAAGACCTGGGTCAGGCAATGGTCCAATCCCCTGCAGCTTGTCTGTCCCCACATGCTCCCCAGCACTGTGGCTCTCACTCACCAGCAGACACAGAGTGGGTGCGAGACTTGATCGAGATAGGAGGAGCCTCTGTGGAACTGTCCATAATGTCACCTGCAAAGGCAGGGTCGGGGGTTTAGGCACCAGACCTTGGTGAGGGGAAGAAAAAACATGACTTCTACTCCTCCCCCCAGGAGAGCAAATCCCTTGTGGACTGTCTTCCTCCCCCAAAATGTACTGTTCCAGCCCATGGTCCCACTTACCATCTGAGCCAGCCTTCTTGATCTCTCCATCTTTGCTCTGTGGGAAACAGGGAAGTCAAGCTTAGTCCTGTCCCACCCTCATGCTAGCCTTGTTTTATTTATATATTCTTATTCTTGTAACTGCCACTAACAGCCACCATGGGTTGGGCAAGAACATGGCAGACCCAGTCCTGGTCTTGGAGCTCAGTCTGTGGTGGCGGACAGTTAACACACAGAAGCATATTCAAGTACAAACACAAATAAAGTAACTTCTCAGTTCTGTGATTCACTTTCTATAACTTAGTGTTTCTAAATTCAAGCTGAGTCTCACTTCATATGTGTTTTTTAATTTTCCTGCGAAGTTATAGGGATAGTCCATAGGGTGGTGATTCTTGCTAGGAACTGTGGTCAGAGGGTGGCATTAGCAGGGTGCATGGAGAGTCAAGGAAGGCCCAAAGGGAAACAGATGGAGGAAGAGGGAGGGACCTTGTGTAGCCCTTGGATGGTGGTGAGAGGCTGGAAGTTGGGGAGAGAGGAGTTCCAGACAGAGGAGCCTGTGTGAAGGTCCTGAGATGCAACGGGGGTTGAGAGCAGTGAGATGAAGGCAGTGACCAGGGCTGAGGCCCTGTTGGGCCCTGAGGCAGGATTAGGAGTCAAGTCCCCTAGAGGATTTGCTGCTTCAAATGAAGATGACTTTGAAAAGTCAGATTTCTGTTAGATCTGCAGAGATGGGACTGTCCCTACTGCAAGGAGTAGATACTGGTGGCCTGGGTCAGAAGGGAAACCAAGAGGGAAGAAAGGTGAATCTGACAGACCTGTCTGTCAGGAGTCTCCTGGTCACATAAATCACCCACATAAAGCCAGCTGCATGTCACCTGCCTCATTGCCCACAGCATCCCTTCCCAACTCACTTGCTTCCTCTTGCCTTCGGTGCTCCCACTGCCTCTGCTCACGCCGATCCTCTGCAGCATTACTTGTACTCGCTGCTCAAAGGATGGGGCCAGCTCTGTGTCTCCCCGCTCCAGGGGCCGCCGCTGGGGACAGAGACACCCAACTGGTGAGAAAGCCCGCTGCCCCCACTGTTTCAGGGGAGCCCTTGCTCCTGGTCACCAGGCCTCACCTTGTCGGGCCTGGCACCCACTGTCTCCTCCTCTTCAGCAGGGAGCAGTATCAGGGAGTAAGCCTTGCTTTCGCGGGTGTATCGAGGGCGACTCCTGCGGGTTGGGTCTGGGCTGCCGGTGCCCCCCTCAGCCCCAGCAGGCTCCTCACCACGGCCAGGACGGGCTGGTGGCCGAAGCAAGTCCCCGAGTGTGGTTTTTCGAGAGCGGGGAGCTGCTCCAGGGCTGGTCTCAAGATCAGGTCGTGACCCACGTGTTGAACGAGGCTTCTTGAAGGCAAAGAGTGTGCCCAGCTTCTTGCGAAGTGTACGGGGGACAGGGGTGGTACCCCCCTCGGCTGCTGGGTCCTCCTCAGGGGCCCAGCTGTGGGAACAGCCAGCAGTGAGTGGGAATGCCCATGGAGCAGCCCACCCTCTCCTCCACCCTTGCAAATGCCCCTTACTCACAGGCGATCCTGGTGGATCAGCCTTTTGGAGAAGAATTCCTCCACGCCCTCATCCACGCGGGCACTGAGCCCATTCCCTTCTTGCGGCAGGGCTGGGGGCACCTGAGGGACACCACAGGGTTAAGGCTGAGGGCTGAGTTCAATTAAGACTTCTCCCCACCTTCCTTGTCCCGTGGCAGGCTCTGGGCAACTCCAGGACCTGGGAGCTGCAGTGACCCTTTGGAGTTGCTGATACAAACTCCCCCACTGTCCAGCGGTTGGGCAGAGATGCTGGTTTCAGGTACCACCCCCCCCCCTCCTGTACTTGGCCCTAGATGTACACAGCTCACACCCATTCTCATCCCATTGAGTATCCTAAACAGTCCAAACCACCTGGTCACCAGCAGACTAGAACCCAGGTGTCCCCTGGGTCGCACGTTCCCACTTAACACCCTCTCTGCTCCAAACAGTCCCTGCAGTACCCTCCACCCCCACCCCACTCGGCCTGCTGCCGGCTCAGCGGCGCCTGCTGCTGCGTCAGACCCTCTAGGGGGCCTCAAGCCGGCTCCTCCCCACCTCCGGCCCTGTGCCCACGGCCCGCGCCAGTACCCAGCCCACACATACACCCGCGCTGGACGTGCAGTAGACGCAGGACTGTCCCCACGGGAGGTGGGGGGGGGGCAGCATCTTTCAGTAACCCTGGGGGAGGGAGGGTAAGACAGACGCCCCCTCTCTCACACATCTACCCGTGCAGCGGCCAACCCGAGGCAGAGTCCTACCCCAGGCGCTCCCCCCAATGAAATCCACACACTCGTGACCCCGCATGAGCATAGCCTAACGTAGGGGGTGGCCAGGAAGACGCCAGAACTCTTGCCGCGTGGCCAGGTGGTCTTGGGCCCCCACCACCCACCTCCCTGCCCGCCATCACCCGTAAGAGCGAACGGGCCGCTTGAGACCCCCAATTTCAAGAGCTCTGGAGTGGGGGGAGGGCGCTCACCTGGGGGCCCCCCGGCGGCGGGCGGTGGTGGTGCTGGCGCCGCGGCCGTGGTCGGGTCCGGGTTGGATGGCGCAGGGGCTGCCCGGAGGGTGGCAGGTCCATGCGCGGCAACGGGCCGGCCAGGGGCCCAGGGGCGGCGGGGCTCGGCGAGCCACGAGCGGATGGCCCCGCCTGCGGCTCTGCATCTTCCCCCGGAGCCGCCAGCTCGGGCTCCGGCTCCTCAGCAGCACCTGAGGGGAGCGCACCAGAAGAGCACCGAGCGCCAAGCCCGGGGAGGTGGCAGCGGCAGCGGCGCTAGGGTGGCGGGGGACCCGCCCAGGGCGTGGGGAGGGGCTGGGCTACGCCGCCCGCCCCCCTGCCCGCCCCTCCCCCGCTGCCGCTGTCCATGGTGCTGAGCGCGGCCCCGAGCGGCGCGCGGCCCCGCGACGCCGCCAGGCATGCGCATCCCGCGGGTTGGGAAGGGAGGGGGCGGTGGAGTAAGGAAGGAGTCGAGAGAAGGCTGTGTCCTGGCCCTGGTCTTCTCAGGTCCCACCCTGTGCTAACTGACCCCAACTTTATAGTTGCACGAGGGGCTTGGCCTGGCCCACTCAAGGGTCAAGGAGTTCCCAGGGCAGAGATGAATATATTGTGGCCAAGTGGCCAGGTCTATCTAATGGAACTTTAGTCCAACCTGAGAAATTCTTCCCCTGGGGCCCTGACTTACTGTGAGTGGAGGAGTCCACGTGAAGACAGTGGAGGGCTTCAGGCCATTTCTGTGGAGGACTTTCATCCTGGTGAGGAGGGCACAAACTCAGCCTGGGGTCCATACCCCAGAACAAGATGGGAAGATCTAAGGTTCTAGGCCCAGAGTTCTGGGACCACCTACCTTCTGCTCCTCTTCATCTTCCTTTTCTTTCTCCTCAGGAAAGAAAAGACCTTCCAATTCTCCAGGCCCAAGGGGGCTGGACTCGTCTCCATCTAGTGCCGGTATGACAGGGGGCATTGCCTCTGTTGCCTGTTGAGCCAGACTCTCCACCTGCAATATCAGGCACCCCAAAGATGGGGAGGCAGGGCCTCAGCAAAGGTCCTATCAGTGCTAAGAGAACCCCGAAATATTGGGCTACATGACCCCAGAAGACATTACAGAACCTCTGCAAGGCAGTGGCCGCGAGTCTGTGTAAGCACATAATCCCTGCTCAAGACATTACAGAACCCCTGCAAGGCAGTGACCAGGTGTGTGTGTCTGTGTGTGTGTAAGCCCACAGTTCCTGCTCACCAGCCGATCCCGGGCTGCACTCAGACCTGCCACAGCCTGAGCCACAATGCTCTCTGCCAAGGTCCCTGTGACTGACAGGCGCATGTCCCTGACGGCAACACATGACAGGGGTTAGTGTGCTGTCTTTATCCAGTCTAGCCCGGTCCTGCCCAGCCCAATCCAGCCTACCTGAGCCGAGTGAAGGCATCTTGCAGCAGGTGCTCTGGGAGCAGCTCTGGGAGACCCCTTGAGCCCCCGAGGACCCCCTCTAGCTGCTCCCTCCACCTGGGACCCTGCAATGTCTGTGGACAGAGGCTTCTTGTTGTGTCCAGTGTGGCCTGAGTGAAGTCCTAGTCGAAGGTCAGAGCACAGTGAGCGTGTGGCTGGGGCCCAGCCTCACTGGCTTGGGGCTCCAAACCCCAAAGAACACTGGGGGTCACTACAGACTCGGGATACCACAGTAACACTTCTGGATGGGGGTCAAGGCTGCATATGGGGAGGGGGGGCAGCTGGGGCCAGGGCACTATCTCACCTGAATGTCCCGGCGGCACACCTCTCCCACCTGTCCCAGCAGGCCTTCCAGCTTCTGCCGCAGCTGCCACTGGTGGCTTGGGGAACTCCCAGCCTCATAGAGAATGGGGAGAATCTGGAGGCCAAGGAAGAAAAGGAGTTGCAAGTGGACCCCTAACTAAGAGGGAGGCGTCCTCGTAGTGGGAGGGAGTGCTCACGCTGAGAGAGAAGTTGGCGTTTTGGATGGCATCCTCAGCCTGGTGCACAGCAGCTTCACCCTGGGGTCCAGCCCCACAGCCCAGCAGCTCCACGTGCTCCTGCACCGACTGACACAGTTCATTCACTTCCTGGAGGGCAACAGGGCTCAGCTGCAGCCTGGTCCCCTCCCTGTCCCCACATCCTGACTGCCCCCTTCCCAAGGTCTCCACAGAGGGGGTGAGGTCCTGAAGCTGACATCATCAGGACAGCCACTTGGGAACCTTATCTGTTCAAGAAGGGAGAGCAGTGTCTCCTTTGGTTCATTGCAGGGACTTTATATATACTTCCTAAACGTCCAGAATAGGAAGGAAAAGAGCGGTTAGTCATGTCAGTGTTTTAGAAGCTCAATCTGTTCATCATCGACCTAGAGGACAGATTGAGGGATGGAGAGAAATGTGAGTGAGGAGCTGTGGAGGAGAGACAAGGGGGAAGCAAGGATAGTTGGGTGGGAGTAAGGAGTGGTATGTTTGAGAATGGGTCAAGATGCGGAACCAAGGAGGTCTATGGGGGCTGCAATGTGGCCGAGAGAGACCTGGACTGAAGCTCTGTCCACAGCACTTGGTGCTTGTGGGCACCAGTGAGGCTGGGCTCCAGGGTAGAAGCGTTTTGTGGGAAATCACGAGATCTCTTGTGGAATGCGAAGCTCTGAGGTTGTCAAGATGCCTGGGCTCTGGAGCTTGGGAGAGAAGTGGGATTTGGGAACAGGTGTATGGGGAACATCTCACCAAGCAAAGAAGTGGAGGGAGATGAAGCCAGAAAAAGGGTCATTGGGTTGGGCAACAACAGAGAGGGAAGGCCCTGTGAATGGGAATTCACAGGTGGGGCTATAGTTGGGGATGGGGAGAACTGATTGAGGATTTAAAATACCTCCTGTCTTTAGGGAGGCTATTCAAATGATTTAAGGGAATTTCCTGTGGTCCAATGGTTAAGACTCCATGCTTTCACTGCAGGGGCCTGAGTTCATTCCTTAGTTGGAGAAATAATATCTCGCAAATCAGCTGTGTGCAGTAGCCTCCCCACGCCCAGCTTTTTTTAAAATAAAAAAAAAATGCTTTCAAAAGGCAGCTAGTAGTGTTATCTGAGGGAGCTATTTCAAGAGCTATCAGCTCCACTGCAGATCAAGGAGAAGGACTTGTCTAGGACAGCAGGATTCATGCATGCTGGCTGCCCTCAGACTCATGGGGTCTCTCAGCGGCCACCACCCTCCCCACTCCCTACAGTCTCTTGGTGCTCAAGGCTGAGTGGGGGAACTCTGACCTGCTCGGAGGGGTCTGACCCCAGACCCAGGGGCTTCGGGCGGGAGGCGCCATCGGTAGAGGTGTGGTCTGTGCGGTTGTTCCTCAAGAGACAGGCTTGGATCTGGGCACGAGAGAGACTGAGAAATGGTAGGGTGGGACCAAGGCACAGAGCAAGGCGGGGAGAGAGGGAAGCCCCACCTGATGCACGGCCCGTGCTGTCACTTCAGGACGGCTGCGCTGAGCCTGGGCCACATCGTTCAGAGGCAGAGGCATGGCCTTCAGGCTGCGGTTCTGTTCCAGGGCCTGTGCCACGTCCAGCAGGCCCAGAGCAGATGTGTGGTTTCGGTCCCAGACCACAGACCTGGGCCGGGCCGGGCCGGGCTTTAGTCGGAGGCAAAGCCCTGCAAGGCCCTCCCAACCCCACTGGCCTTTGCATTAGCACCCCTGAGCTCCACCTGCTCTGCTTCATTCAGCCCTACCCCAGTGAGGCCCTCGATACATGCCCTCTTCCCCCGTTGGTCCCACCCGTGACCCCACCCACCGGAGCCTCGTGTTGACCCGAAGCGCCTTGGCCAGCATCTTGGCACCCGTATCCCCCATGGCGTTGCCGCTGATATCCAGGGCTGTCAGGTTAGGATTGGTGCCCAGGGCCCGGAGCAGGACGCCGGCGCCTAGCTTCAGCCGTGACTCAGCCACGGACAGAGACTGCAGGGGCTGGGGTTAAGAGAAAGCCATTTGCAGTTGGAGTCAGGCCAGCAAGGAGGACGGGTCTCAGAGTCCATTGCCTGAGGATTCCACGTGGTCCCGTGAACTCACACAGTCGTCATCCTGCATGAGCTGAACAATCCGGTGCAGGACGTCGTCCAGGGTCTCCCTGTGGGCGGGGGCAGCAGTTGGCAGAAGACCCGGGCGGTGGGGTGCAGTTGGGAGGCCCAGGAGGGGGATGGGGGCTCACTTGCACCGGACGTTGAAGTTCCTTCCAAGCGCCACGTGTCGCAGGGACCGACTCCTCCCGATGGCCAGCACCAGAGTCACCATGTCTGAGCCAAAGCCTGGGGGGTGGCTCGGGTCACACACAAGGCGAAGCTGAGGGGTGGGAATTTGGTGGGTGGTGGGAGGATGGGTTTCTGGGCGGCCTCACCATTATCTGCCAGATCCAGGGAGCTTACTGCACCAGCATCACACACTAAGTCTTGTATCACCTGAGCACCCGCAGAGCGCAGCTGAAGGTGGGAAGCGGAGTGTGCTCAGGCCAACAGGCCACAGGTGGGGAGGATCAAGAGCCCAAAGGCCCAGCGCTCCCGCCTCGCAGCCCAAGCCCCAAGGGCAAGTCCCACCGCTCGGTCGGGCTGCTCACCTCACACGCGCTGAGGTCCAGGTGTAGGTCATTCAGGTGCGTGTTGAGCGCCAGGCCTTCCAGAAGCGCCCTGGGAGAGGGTGTCACAGGGGGTAGCGGAAGCTGGGAGAAGGGTCCCCAGAGCAGAGCGCAAACATCAAGAAGGAAGGATGCCCGGGAGGTCAAGGGTGCGATAAGAGCGGGCTGAGGTGGCGAGGCGAAGCCTGGGTATTGGCCGATAGGCAAGGGCATGGGACACTGACCTGAGTGCGTCGGGTGGTAGTTTGCAGCCCGCCAGGCCCAGGTACCGAAGCGTCCCGGTGCGGCTGAGGAAGAGTTGCAGGGCATCGGGCTGCGCCCGGGACTTCCTGGGGTGGGGAGTGGGCGGAGTGGGCGTCCCGGCGCGGGGAGGCGGGGTCCAGAGGAGTCCCGCCCCTCCCGCCCCGCCCCCTTACGTGCGGGAGAAGACGTTCCTCGAGGCGTCGAGGTGCACCAGGCTGGAGCAGCCACCGCGGGACAGCGCCCCGAAGAGCTGCGAGAGGAGGGTGTGGGCTACACCGGCAGGAGGACTGAGCGCCCCCCACTTCAGTAGCCCCTTGGGCCACAGGCCCGCCCAGCCCTATGGATCACCCCCCCCCCCAATGACCACCCCCTCACAGTGTCCAGGGCGGTGTCGGTGCCTGCGAGATTCAGGAATGTCAGAACATTAGGACGGCTCAGGAAACTATAGAGGCCCTGGCGGGAGGATGGAGATGGGAAGGAGTCAAGGATCACTCCACCAAGAGCTTCCCGACACCTCACTGCCTGCGGGACACCTCACTGCCTGCGGTGGCGTCCCCAGTCACCTCCCTAAAGACAGTCACTCACCCCATGGTCCTCCGAAGCCCCCAGTGCCCCAGGGTTCCCGGAAAGGTCCAAGTGGATCAGGGCAGAGTCAAAGGCTGAATTGGAAGCCAGTGCCCGGCCTAGAGCCCTCATTCCTGGTGATGGAGGAGGGGGCTCACCATCAGGAGACCCCACCTCCCAGCTCCACCACCCCACCCCATCCTCAGGCCTGCCTACCTCGCGGCGTCAACCCAGTCTGCGCTAGGCTGAGTCTCCTCAGGGCTCCAGGATGCTTCTCTAGGTGTCTGCTAAGGGCAGCCACACCTGCGGGATGAGGGTAGTAGCCGTGTGGGTCTCACCGCCTCCAGCACCAGCCCCCAGGGCTTCCCCAGGCTCAGGTGTACCTCGGTCATCCAGCAGGTTCCCGGCCAGGCTGAGCTCCCGCAGTCCCGAGCTGCTGTGTCCTGCCAGTGCCTGGGCCAGTCGCCGGACAAAGTCTCTGGGAACCAGACCACACCCTAGGTGTGAAGCTTTGAGCCTGGATTCCCCGCTCCTCCCCAGGTCACTAGTCTCTCCAATCCAAACCCCCAGATTCCCCTCCCCAAGCCCTGTCCCCCCTACCCCCTCAGGCCACAGGTCTCCAGCACCAGCTCCTCCAGGTGGGATGACTGATTCATCATGTGCAGAATCTGTTCTGAGACCTCAAGGCTCTGAGAACCAGAGTCGGGGGAGAGAGCTCAGCGGGCTGCCCACTGGCCCCCCAACCCCCTCTCCCCACCCTCCCCTATGCTTCTCACCAGCTTCATGTCCACGCAGGAGAGGCACCGGAACCAGAGGTTGTAGGACAGGGCAGCCACACTCAAGGCCAGGTCCCTGGGCGGAAGAAGGGGCAGGAGCAGAGCTCAGGATCCCCCAGCCAGATCGTAGGTCCAGTAACCCTTCTCTCCATGGAGAAGCTAAGGCCAGGAATGTGGCTCATGCAATCTTCCTGTCCTTACAGCCCTGGCGGGACACTCACCGACTTCCCAGATGGCTGAAGTCTCCTAGGCTGAAATGGCGGCAGCCCTGACGATGGTAGATGGTGTCCACGTCCTGGGTGGGAAGAAAGTACCTCCAACTTGCTTGGGACCACAAGAGGTAGTGGGGACTTCTCAAAGCACCAGGGGAATTGGATGTCTCCAGAGCCCCCAGAGAGGGCCCTACTCTCACCCACTGAATCTCCTCTCGGAAAGGGAAGCCATTGTAGTCACACAGGGCCTCGTATGTCTCCGAGAAGCCCCCTGGGTTGGTGCCAAGGGTGTGATGGGGCAGGAATTGGGGCAAGAGAGAGACAAAAGGTCAGAGATGGAGAATGATCAGCCCCAGGCTGGGCAGTGGCTGAGTGGCTCTGTTCAGTTCGGGGTCCTGCAGGAGGGGGGCTCAGCTGGAAGCCCTGCGTGGCCCCCGCCGTGGCCCTTACCACAGGGGCTGCTGGGTGAGGTGGCTTCTGAGGAGCTGTTTTTCTCCAGCCGAGCCAGCATGGAGCGGGGGGTGGGCCTCCGGAAGAGTTTCCTGAGGAGGGGGAAGGAGAAGGGGGCAAGGAACTTCCAGGCCCTGGGAGTGAGGCCCCCCACAGAGACATCCGAGGCACCCCTCGCTGCCCCCCTTCCCTGCCAGCCCTGCCAGCCCTTCCAGCTGCTGGGCCTCACCCAAGGGTTGAGCGAGGGAAGACCTTCCTGATGGCAGCAGCGATGTGCTGGGCCAGCTGTTCCAGGGCAGCCACACCAGTAAACTCCAGGACCAGTTCAGGCAGGGACTCCAGCTCAAAGGTGACCTGGGGGTGGGGGTGGGGTGAGGGATGGGCTCCTTGTGGGGGCTGGGGAATGGAGGGCAAGACCAGACTGCAGGCCCTGGTGGGGTACTAGGGGTCTCACCTGAGGGGGTGTCTCCTGCAGCACCATGGCCTGGACCTCCAGGTAGCTGAATGTGCAGTCCACCTATGGAGTGCCAGGGTGAGCTCCGACCAAAGCACAAGCCCCACCCTGTTGGGAGCCCAGTCCTTTGTGCAGCCTGGATCTCAGAGCCAGACCTGCCTAGACTTCAGTCCTGCCTGATGACGGCAGCCCAGTGCTACTGGGAGGGCGGAGTCCACAAGGACAGGATGGACGCCGCAGATGCAACCCTCCTTAGGAAAGCTGCTGGAAGGCAAGGGGGCGGCGGCCGGGCCGCTGGGACTCACCCTCAGAGGGAGGCAGGTGTGGAGCAGGTAGGCTCTCCATCGGAGCAGCGCCTGAGGGGAGAGAGTGTCTCACACCTTGGGCAGGGCAAGAGGCTCCTTCTGCTTGGGCCCCAGTGACCCTCCCAGGCAGGCTCTGCCCCAGCCATACCAGGACATGACCTTGCTCGGCGCCCTCCCGCTCTGGCAACCAGGTTTTCAGCAGCAGTTCTGCCTCCTTGGGCCACAGGAACTTGGTGATCTCGCCTGTGGAAGGGCAGCCTGCTGGGAGACGGGTCCTGCCATGGAGGTCAATTCGTGCCCACGGTCTGTGGTCTGTACGGGGCTAGGGGGCCTGGACTCATCTACGGGGCCAGCGAGGAAGGAGTGGAGTGGATCTGGGCCGCCAAGCCCTCCTGAGGACCAGAGGGAACCGCTTGCCGGGTGCCCGGGGACTCTGGGTGGGCCACTGGTTCCGGGGCCGCACGGCTTCCTCCCAGCCACGTAGGAGAGAAGGAGCGGCGCTTACCTCGCAGCTCGCAGGATATGCCGTCGGGGGTCTGGGCCATGCGGCCGGCCCGGCGGCCGGAGCTGGCCCAAGGAGCTCAGACGAGAAACGGTAGCGGCGGCGGGCGAGCACAGGAAGCCTGGGGGCCCGGCCGCACAGCAGCCACCTGCTCCTCCTGCAGCGGAAGGTACGCACCGCTTCCTGCCGGGCCGCCCCCGGCCCGGCTCCTCCCCGCCCGGCCTTCGCGGGCCGGGAGATGCCGGGCGGGTACGAAGGAGGTGGGCAGATGCCAGCTGCCCGCCCGCGCCGTCGCTACTCTGTAAAGGTAGATCTGAGGAGGGAAGGGAGAGGTGTGCCCTGGAGGGTCTCGTACGTCGCGTGCCTCTTTCAGTTCCTAGACCCCTACTTCCACCCTGCTACAGTCCCTTCTGCGAGCACCAGGGGGCGCTGCCCACTAGGGGAATCTGCGGCCCGCCTCGGCCCGTCACCTCCACAGCCCAGCGAGGGAGGTGGACCTCAGACAGGATACATAGGGCGTCTGGGCGTCTGTTCAGAAAGGACCATCGGATTCCTCCTAACCTTGAGGACCCTATCTGTTGCTCCTAATCTGGAGTCCCTCACCACATCGGAGAGACACGAACTGTTGAAAGGGTGGGAAAAAACACCAGATGGGCCCAGATGCCCATCTCTGCGGCAGAGGTCCTTTGCTTTCATCAGGTTCAAGGTGGGTTGGGGCCAGAAGGTGCCACTGCAGGGAGGAGTGGAGTGACTCATGAGCAAAGGCGATGGATGTGGGGGTCCTCCCATGTCTGCCTTCTCCCTGAGTTGGAGAGAGCTTGGGGAGGGGGGACCACAAGCAGAGAGGAAAGCTACTGTCTGCAGGACTAGGTGGCCCTCAGGTCATGGGATGCATGATGCCCTATAGAAGACCAGGGACCTAGATTCTGGAGAGTTCACAGGAGGGGATTTAACCTTTTTCTTCTATTAAAATCTAATTAAACTCTATGAGAAGAGAAACAACCCTCTGCCTTACCCATTGCTCAGCCCGGTGGGGTGAAATAACCTGAGGTGAGAGACATTGCGCAGGCCCTTGGTTTCTTCCCACCTCCTGCTACCCCTCCTCACCTTGAGGCCTGGAGACAGTGAGAGCATTTTTCAGTCATCTGACCATCAGCAGCATCTCCCCCAGCCCAAATCTCATCTCCCTTTGCTGAGGACCACCAACGACTAGGACAAAGTGGAAAGTAGAGATTGAATCAAAAAAACTTTGCAGGAAGCCACCTCCCTTAAAGCAACAGGCTCAGGTGTGGCAGCCCAGAGGCCACAGGGATGGACTCAGTTGGACAGGGAGCTAAGTTCCTGCCAACAGAGGCAAGAGGAAGTCCTGCTCTGCTGCTTCCCAATCTGAGCGGAGAGAGTTCAAGTTAAGACTCTTGGAAGACCAAAGAACCCATCAACTGCTTCGAGGGTCTGAGCTCACACACAGTATGGCCAAGTGGTCAGGAATGAAAGTTCTGAAGGTACATTACCTGAATTCAAGTCCTGACTCCACTTAACAGCTGTTTGACACTGAGTAAATCACGCCATCTTTCTGTTTAGGGCTTCCAGTTCCTGTTTTCTAAGCTGGAACTTACCTTGGAGTGTAAAGATTAATGTTTATTAAGAGAAGTGCTCACAATGTATCTGGAACTCAGTGGACACTCACAGTTGCCAAGTCTTACTGTGACAAACCTAAGACTCCAGAACAGAAGGACAGAAAACCTCCCTCCCTGGGATTTTTCTGTCCAGAATGATTCGAATGAGAAATACAAGAGGGAATAAATGCCAAAGGCTTCGAGCTGCTCCCAGGTGGCGGGATTCTCAAGACCAACAGCCACACTGGTAGCATCAGCCCTTGTCTAGTGAGTGCTATGGGAACGAGCAGAGGGCTATGGAGGAGGAAACAGGATCAGCCCGGAGATTAGGACAGGAGTGCTAGGCGAGCCACACATCTCCATAACTGCTTGCTGTCAAGGTGGCAGTGACGAACAAACATAACTGCTATCAGAGGCCTAGTGAACACATGGGACTCAGCTTCCACAAGTGAGTGACTCAAGAGGGCGAGAAGCCTTCAATTTGTTCAAGACCGTCTGTGTGTTCTAGACAGCATGACACCCTGTAGGCGCTCAAGAAATGCTAAAAGCTCATAATGAGGAATAAGCCCCACCTGTTCCAGTAGTACAGGATGAGGCCAGGCTGCAGCTCACAGAAGTGCCACAAGGTTCCTGTCAAAAGTTCTCTGGTGTGGAGTACTGGGAGAAGGCTTTACATTTAATGGAGTCACACAGGATGTATCATGGGGATGTGTCAATGGTGAGGAGGGGTAGGGGGGTAGGGAACCCCCTTCCAGCCTTATCTGCATCAGAATGTCATTTTTCTTGCCCCCTCCCCAAGCAAAACCAATCTGCTTGTAAACAATTTGAGTGTATACAATAATAGAAAAGCTATGTTAAAAATACAGATAAACTGTTTGCTGTTCTATTAAGTGATTTTCTATTATATTAAAAAAAATTTATTGGGGGGGCATGCCACATGGATTGCAATATCTTAGTATTCTGACCAGGAATCGAACTTGGGCTCCTTGTAGTGGAAACATGGAGTCCCAACTACTGGACCACCAGGGAATTCTCTATAATTAAAAAAAAAAAATTTAATAAAAATAGCTAGCTAGTGGGAAGCTGCTATAAAACACAAGAAGCTCAGCTCGGTGCTCTGTGATGACCTAGGTGGGTGGGACGGAGGTGAGGTGGGAAGGAGGTCCAAGAGGGAGGGCATATATATATACATATAGCTGATTCACTTCATTGTATAGCAGAAACTAACACAGCACTCTAAACCAATTATACTCCAATTGAAAATTATTTAAAACGCTGCCTGCCCACTGAAACAACTCTGGTAGCAGGTACTCTGCTCCCTGGTGGCAGTAGGGGTTAGCCCAAGCATGGGATAGAGACCAAATGCCCTGACAGCCTCAGGCCACTAACATTCAATCCAAGTTGCTGACTGCCTGGTTCATAGTCCCAGATGATACCAATTTTTCTGGGAGCTCCAACTGCATGAACACTACCAACCAGCCAAAGACTTCACACATCTAGTCTTCTGTTACTTACTTTTCACTGAAAACTGGTAAGTTCAAATTCTGCTTAAAACCCCCTGGACTTCCTTAGTGGTCCTGTGGTTAAGACTCCACGCTTCCAATGCAGGGACATAATGGCTCTGATCCCTGGTCAGGGAAGTGCCTCATGCCATGGGGGTGTGGCCAAAAAAAGAAAAGCTCCCTATAATTACCTTGAGATAATAAAAGCTATTTATGACAAACCCACAGCCAATATAATACTCAATGGTGAAAAGCTGAAAGCCTTCCCATGAAAACCTGGAATAAGACAACAATGCCCACTTTCACCTCTTCTATTCAACACAGCATTGGAAGTGCCAGCCATAGTAACCAGAATGAAAAACAAAAGGCATCCAAATTGGAAGGAAGAGGTAAAATTATCATTATATGCAGATGAAATAATACTATATATAGAAAACCTTAGAGAGTCCACACAAAAGCTACTAGAACTGATAAATGAATTCAGCAAGGTAGTAGGATACAAGATTACATAGGGAAATTGGCTGCATTTCTTTACACCAACAATGAAACATCAGAAAGGATATGTACAAAAATCAATACCTCTAAACCAGATCTGAAAGAGACACGTGCACCCCAATGTTCATCACAGCACTGTTATAATAGCCAGGACATGGAAGCAACCTAGATGCCCATCAGCAGACGAAAGGATAAGGAAGCTGTGGTACACATACACCATGGAATATTACTCAGCCATTAAAAAGAATTCATTTGAATCAGTTCTAATGAGATGGATGAAACTGGAGCCCATTATACAGAGCGAAGT